GAATTCATTAAATTGATGGTGAGACCAGAGAGAAAAATTTTAAGAACTCAGAAAAGAAAGAGAGCTCGCTTTAATTTAAAGAATTTTCCAAGATAGTATCTAATTTTTATACATTTTTCATTAAATTTAATTTAAAAGTGGGATTCCCTTGAGGGTAATAATATTCTTAAATGTTATTTTTCTAATCTCACCATTCAACTATAAATTCTCAAATAAGTGGTTCAAAATTTGTGACTAATAGGCCATACTTGAGAGTTGTATTTTTTAGCCAATCATTAAAAAAAATGTTAAAATAGCATATCCTTAATATTTTATTCAGGTACATTTTCTTAGAGCTCTGAAAAACATAAAATCACCTTCCAAACATTGTCACTGAGTTAACTTTTATTCCAAAGTTTGATTCATTTCTGCTCATTAGTGCCATATAATTTCAAACAAAACCAATTGAGAGTGATTATGTGCCTTAGACAAAGTGTGACACAGTAAGTAGGTCCTCGAAAAGGATATCAAATAAAAGTATATTTGGTAAATTTGCTCTTTTGGAAATAGAAAAGGCATATTTAGTTAACTTATTAAATGTGTTATCATTTAGAAAATAGAATAATTTTATGGTATATTTTTGAAAAGGTTATAGTTGGAGGTGTGCATTCTTTATTGGGATGGAAATTTTTCTGGGTAATAGATTCATAAGAAAAAAAACAGATAAACTAGGTTGGAGTGAGGTAAGGCATGAACACTCTTTTGTTGTTGAGATCTGTTTTTATTTTGTTTTTCAATGACAGTATAATTTCTATATTATTTTGTATTGGTTTCAGGTGTACAGCAGAGTGAGTAGTAGGTATGAATACTTTAAAGTATTGCATATCCATGTTTCAGCATAATTTCAGCAAAAATATGTTTATTTTTTTGTGATTCTATGCAGTGATATTTAACTAACAGAGTGTAATTCGTAGATGTAATTCAAAAGTTTAAAAGACTGATTCCTTGTTTTGTCTTTCACAGGCTATGAAAACCAAGATGACATTTGTGGTTGCAGTTGCTGTTTTGACTAAATGTTCACTCTACTTATGTAATACTCCTCTGCTCATATAACCATAAAATAAGGCTTCCACAGGGCTTTTTTCTCCAAGGTCAGCAAAATATATTACTAACTTGCTTAAGTCGGAGAAATAATTCAAAATGGCATCATTAAAAAGCCTGATATTATGCAAAACTACATAATTCGTTTTACTTATTAAAAAATCGAATTGGATACTTTGACATAGTTTATGTCTTTAAAGATAATAGAATTAAAAATAGTACATCAAAAGAGTTGTACAAATGATTTGAGATTAGGTATCTGGTACCATGTAACATTAATTTCTACTCCCATAATTTATTTGCAATCACATTTCTTGGTTTTATTTACATAAAAATATATCTTGTGGAGAAATCTGAATCTTTAGAGAACATGGAGTATCCCGGTACATGACCACAGAGGAAGCTCTGCTCTTTCCAATAATTGGGCGAGCCAGGCTGGTATGAGTGTTACAGTGAGAGGAAGGAGAATGATGACTTGCATACCATTTCAATTACAGAAAAAAAGCAAGTGGGTTGGTCTATCCACAGGCATGATACTTTTAGGAAATCCACTAAAAGAAAACAGGTCTTCCTGAAGCGAGTGGGAAGGCCTCACACTCTGGGCCCTGTAATTAAGGTCTGTTTGTGCTCACTGGGCCTCAGCTCTCTCAAGGATCCATGTGGTTTCCCATATTAAACCCTACTGTGACTGCCCTTTCACCCCAGCTCAAACACAATCACTCACAGAATGAGTCTGACAAAGCTTCCTAAGCATGCTCCACCCTGTGGAAGTGGAACAAAGGATACAGAGAAAATTCACATTTAGCGAGTGTTGACCACATGCCAACACTTACTTAGTACTTTTTACAGATTATCATGTGGTCATTTTTCCACAACTGTAAGAAGTAGGTAGTAGTGTAATCCCATTAGAAATAAGGTCCAAAGTAATATGAAACCGTCTTGCTCTAAAGACTATGGTCTTTCCTCCATAACATATAGCATTCCAATATTAATTCGAGATCTAAAACAGTGTCCATCAAATAGAAAAATAAATGCAGGCTAGCCCTTCATCTGCTCTAATGGATGGCTAATATGTACAAGAACTAGGTAGTAGTATTTAAATGCAAAATATTAAGGAATCATTACTATAATAATAGCATAAACTTATTTGTATCCTTACTACGAATATATAAATGACATAGTTATCTAATTCTCACATTCTTAGTAAGCCGAAACTGAAGTTTTAAAAAATATGTTATTTAGATAATTTGTGAAGCACAAGAAAAAACATTCTGAATCTGGGCACATCGTGGCAAACATATACCAGTTCATTTCCTGAAATCAAAAGTAGTTATAACATCTATAAGCCTTAAAAGAGGAGCTAGTGTCAATGAAAAAAATTTGTTTAGAAAAAGCAGTTTTTGTTTCTTCACCTAAATGTATTACTCATTCCTAATATTTCCTGTTAAAATGAATTTAAACTATTATTGATATTATTATAAAAATATAAATTTTAGTATGTAATTATGAAAATAGTGAAGTTCCATTACAATCAAGATATTTCAAGTTCTAATTCTAGACAACTGTTTTGTTTTTTATTTTTATAGAGAATGATATTAAAAGTCATTAAAATAGGACCACTGGTTCTTCCAAAAGTAAATGGTTTGAATTAATTTGAGGAAAGTAAAGGAAGTCCTGTGTCAAATTAATTTTAATAGGTCTTTCATAAAGTACCTTGCAAGATAATTGATTACTTCTGGTAACACAAATGATTATGCAGTCCATGCTCCTGCCTCAAAATTCAGTTATTTTATGCATGAACGTCTAAACATGATGTTTCTAACTTTATTCTGAAATGGTACTTAATTTCCTGAGGCTTGAGATTCACACAGTCCCTCGTTTCTATCTAAAATGTGTCTGCATCCCCATCTTGCAGCAGCCCTGGTTTCTGCACCCTGTCAAATGTAACCTTTGTGCTAATTTGGTAAAATCCGTTCTCACATTTAGTGCTGAGAGACTGATAACTGAATTCTCAAATGAACTGCACATTTGCAGAGATGAAGTACAGAGCTGCGGACAATGACTGTTTTCCCACAGTGTAAATTCTTCAGACTCAGCTGTCAACATGTGAGTGTGTGCAGCACAAAGGCGGCTTTAACTTGATGACTTTTTTCCTCCAAGGCCATAAAAACGAAATGGATACTGTACTCTCCTTCATGTTATTCCATCTTCTAATGAGATGTTCTTTCTCAGGGACAGTGAAAGCCTGTATGCTTTTTAGAGTTCTTAGTAGATCAAAGTCTCCTTCTTGCAGAATAAAAACAAACATGATCCTTCCTAAATAAATATTTCAGTTTGAGAATAGACCAGATAGCAACAGTGGATATTCCAAAACTGTCCTCCGGGAGTTTGGAGTTAAGCTCTTTTATAGTTTTACGCCAATAGTCTTATCATGATCTTAGCATCTTTTCTCTTTCTTGGTGAGACACAATTTCTCTGCTGGTCACCCAGCTACCACACTTCTACCCCAGGGGTAGGGATTTGATTATATGTTAAATCTCCTTTGATTACCACAGTGTTTGTACTTAATTAAATGACCTTAGGCATCATCTACTTTAGAGAACACAATGGGGAAGTGATGTCAAACTTATTTGAAACTTGGGAGAGCAGGAAAAAAGGGAAGCGAAAACAAGTGCCTTCTAAAGAGAAAAGGCTGGTGAACAGTGACAGGCACTGCAGGAGAGAGGAGAGGCTTTTCTAAATGGAGACTGATAAACAGCTATGGAAAGTCATCAGTGACCGTTGGAGGAGCAGTTCCATGCGATCAAAGTCAGGTTGAAAGTGGATAAAGGGGTGAAAAGTTGAGAAAACAAGTTTCTAACAAGGCTATGCACTTAGATATGCAGGGACTTCATGGCATGCCAAGATTAAAGGGGGTGTTGAAAGGATGAGCAAGTTTTCAGGTCAGAGGAAGAGTTAGTGGTACTGAAGAGATAAAGACAGCAAAAGACATGTAGATTGGGGAAATTTACATAAGCTCATCAATGCAATTAGGAGCAAAGGCAGACAAGTGAAATATGGAAGGTAAGAGGCACACTAATACATAAAAAATAATGGATGATCAGAAGTGTTGCAGGAGGGAAGAAATGCTGATGGAGTTTACTTGTGGTATGTTTTATGTTTTGAATGGTCACTTTAAAGTATTTATCAGAACAAAGATTGTAACAGACAACTCATGGTCTCCTGACGTTTCAGTGATGTTCAGAGGTCATATTGTCATTTTTTCTCTAACAAATCAATGAAGGACGGAGTGATTAAATGAATTTTGGGGGTTCCGCAGGAGAAAAAGCAAGAAAAACAAATGTGGTAGTAGTTCAAATGATGAAATATTCAAGCATCTTACCGAAAACAGATGGACTATAAAATGGGAGATAGGGTTTTAGAAAGATTAAAGGAGAATCAAATAAATAAATGATATAAAAGTCCTTTGACATTTTGAAAATACTTTCAATGTGATGTTGTCTTTAAGACAATTTTTAAAAGTGTTACATAACTTATATGATGTTCTCAAGGCAACATGGAAGTGTGGAGGAAAAAAACACACTACATCATGAGATTTGAGATTAGTTGTGGTGTTCCTGTAAGACAGGATTGGTAAGTCATCTTATCATTTTCCATTCCTCCCTTCCGTAGCTCCAGCCCAGATCTATTTCTTTCCATAGTTAACTACTGAGAAATTTCACTTTTGGCACAAAGCAAATATTTCCCTGAATCCTTAATCTCTCTTTTCTCTTTGCCCAGCTTTCTCACACCCATAGCCATGACGTCACTACCATGTGTTTAACTGCATATTAAATCTCAAGTCATATAGTTTGAGCTATACAAAGAAAGTTTTCCAGTTACACCTGTTACGTGTCTATGTTCTTACAAGCACCACCTACCATTGAGCCACCTGGAATCATGCTGCTCTGTCCTGATTGGGTGGTGGTGCCCAAGAGTTCGGAAGATAGCAAAGTCTCGGCCCATAAAATCAGCTGCCGTTCCGGAGTATAACTCTCCATCTGTGTTGTGACAAGATAAAACCACATGCACATACTTTAATTCAATTAAGGTAAGAAAAACAAAACAAAAAAACAAAATGCAAGTTCGGTGTTAAGACCATGCTAAAAAGAAAACAGAAATGCTCTCTACATCATTATGCAAAGCTATTTATTTTTTAATCTTATGTCTTTGTTATAGTAAGTATTTTATTAAATCGTCATTCAATAATTTAGTACCTGACTACTCAGTTAGTACTAACTTTGAAAAATTGAATAAACTATGACTCAGTGGATATTAATAAAACATGAAATATTATTCTTTTCCACTATAACCTGAGACAAACTTACAAAGTGCACATATTGTTTGCTTTTATATGTGTAAAGATACTGATTCTAATAATCTTGTTTATTAAGATAAGGAATCATTGCAAAATCTTGCTTATAGTTCTTATTTTATAGAAATGAAATTTCTAATATATTCATTTAAAAATACTTTTGTATTGTATTATAATTCAGAAAGTATTAATATTTTCTTTGCCAAATTTTTCTTTGTTTTTTGTATTTTATTTTATTTTTATTTATTTTTTTAAAATATATTTTAAACATCGATCAGCTGCCTCCTGCACACCTCCTACTGGGGATGTGCCCGCAACCAAGGCACATGCCCTTGACCAGAATCGAACCTGGGACCCTTCAGTCCGCAGACCGACGCTCTATCCACTGAGCCAAACCGGTCACGGCTGTTTTTTGTATTTTAATAGAGCAACTTGGAGAAGTGTTTGAATTTAAGAGACGCTATCATATAGTCAAAAAGAAAAAAGTCCACCACATAACCTCAGATATAACAGAGATGTGTTTAGAGAGGAAGAAATTTTGACAAACAGCTCATATTCATTATAGTTCAAATTCTCTTGTTCTTTGACTCATTCCAACTTAAACTAAATTTACTCTAGGTCAGAGTTTAATGATGGAAGACTCCTAATCAGAAGGTAAAGAATAGATGGGAAAAGGAAAAAGGGAGGAGAAAGAGAAGTTAATATTTACTGAATACCACTCTGTGCTGGTTCAGCAGTCAGGCCCTGGCTGGACACTTTCAAATTATCTCATTTAGTTCTGTCAACAACCCCATGACGTAAAGGTATCTGTATTTTACAGTTCAAGAAACTCAAGGTTGCTCAGCTAATGACTAGGCAGGTCAAGGTGAAAGTTCAAACACAGGCCCATTGGTAATCACTATGGTTTCCTCCCTTTAAGCAGAAAGTGCCACATATTAGTTCATCCAGAAAATGCATTGTTGCCTGTCTACTTACAGTGAATAATCAGCACAGCAAAATAACAAAAAATTATAAATTTTTCTCCAAATAGTCTACCATAATGACAGTAAAAAATACATTATCTTGTTGATCATTTGGATATGTTAATGTTTTTAATTCATTGATTTAAAAATATTCAGAAAATAAAATAGGTCTAGATAAATTATAACCTAAACAGTTTAATAATACTATGCCCATTTTCAAAGGACTTTCGTATTTATTAAATGAGTGGAAAATTTTCTCTGAATCTTCAGTTATAAGTGCATTTGAGGAAGTTTTATTAATTGGATTGCATGTATGATATTCTTTGTTCACACCTTCAATTCTCACTTGCAAATCAGGGCTTTGCAATGTAAGATAGACATTCTCAGTAAGATAGACATTCTCAGTGGCCCAACACAAATCAATTTCCTTGGTAAGACCTGTGGTTCTCTAATGTGTTTGAATGCACCAAAACAGGCTTTGAGAAACCCCAAAGCTGTGAGGAATAAAGATACAAAGAGAACCACTTGAACAGCTCCAAATTATGAGGATGAGTTTTTTAAAAATGTTGGTTAGACAACACATTAAGTACAAATAATCAATTTAGTAAGTGGAATTCATATGATATCCCAAATTGTCATAATATGATACCTTTGGGATTCAAAAACATCTATGTTCTCTTCACTTAATTAAATAGCAAGTTCAAATCTGACTTGTTCTCACTATAACATGGTGCAGTAATATTTAATCTTACAATAAGGCAAAGAAATAACACTTTTAACCAATGTTACCAAAATAAGTATAATTTAAGAAAAAGAAATAATCCTATTCTAAAAGCAGAAAAATGCTTTGAATAAGCTAACTATAAGTTTCAAGGGTACTTTGAAATGTTTAAATACCTATTGTTGCCTTAATTTTAACTTATATTCAATCGCTGCAATTATTTTTCTCCATGGGACTTTTGTGTCTTCCCCAATGTACTGTTTTTATTAAAGTTGATATTGTATCATATTACAAGTATTGATATATAGATATTATATATTTTTAAACTTCAGGGGAATTCTGTTTCTTGTTCTTTGTGAATAACAGGGTGTAAGTGTAAATTGTGTTGTGAAAGTAGCCTAAAATATCATATCGGTGTCAGATAATTTCAAGTTGTGAACCTGTCACAGAACACCTTGTATTCTCTTTACCTTGAAAAAAAATTAAATTATTGGTTAATGCTTATTTCCCTTTTCACTATGTTAGTGATGAAAATCAGAAAAAGAGAAAACAGAACTACCAAAACATGAAAACTAAATAATATCATATCAGAATGTGGTAAGACAGATCATAACTAACAGGAGGTACAATCAGAAATGTAAAGAATGTCAGTAATTAATCATTCTTTTTTTTTTCATTAAGCTTGATTTCGTGTGAGGAAAATCTATAATTACAGTTGTTATTACATGTAACCTCTACTCAGGAAAGAGTTGCAACAACAAAAACAACAGCAACTGGAAAATGTTACTTGAGTATAGGTAGGTATTTGTTTCTCTTATTCATTTAGTTAATGATGTTATAACTTCCAGTTATTTTTGTTATCCATCCCACGTGAGGAGGGCAAAAATCAATACAAATAAAGGCAGAGGAAGCATGACTGATTTGTTCCTCTTTTAACAAACAGTGAAAGTAGAAGAGCTATTCAGTAGAAGGGCTGTTAACTCAATTTATTACTAAAAACAGAATTAAATTAAACAATTGACTTATAAACCAAAGGAAGGTTGCAGTTTGGATACCAGTTGCCTTCAGTTATAGGAAATTACCTCTCACCTGATTATTATTTTTGGCAAGATTCAGAGTGATTTCTGTGAGCTGGAGGGCACCAGATAATTGGGTGGCCATGAAGGGCACATTCTCATAGTCAGTGCTCAATATCATCAGAGTGATTTCTGTGAGCTGGAGGGCACCAGATAATCGGGTCGCCATGAAGGGCACATTCTCATAGTTGTCAGTGCTCAATATCCATAACTATTCCTTTACAACAGGTCTTAGATCACATTTTCTGCTGAGGTTTCTATAGGATTCCTATCAAGGATAATTGCTCCAGATCATGTATGGCATATTTGTTGTTTTGATGCAAAATTATAGGTGGTAGAATAACCTACTATTGCATTCTCACTAAGAAGAAATATAATATCAATTTAGAGTACATTTCATTTAATATACTTGTGCATTTTCACTATATATTAACGACTTAGTACATTTTGTGGTTATCTGAAATGATCTAATGATATCTGACTATAAGAAATTTACTGTATACTTCAGTTGGCATATTTACAACTAGGTTCAACAGAAATGCCTACTTGCCAAACTTCTTTGGTAGTTTCTAGGTCAATTATGAAGTTATCAAATTATATGTTGATTTTTGAGCATAATGATAATTTTTCAGTTTTATGACCATAAATATGTTTTCCTGGGGATCTGAAGTAGTGTATTAGGTCAATGTTATCTTATGTTTGAAATGACACTATGGTTAAGATAGATACTTTTTGGTTTTCCATATATACTAAGCTACTAGTCAAAGAAAATATCTGTCCAATTTTATTAAATTTATGATAAAATAATATACTCAAGAAATTGTTATATTTATTAAAAAGTGGTTGTGGATACTCTGTCCAACAAGGTTCTTAAGTCTCTCTACAAAAAAAAACATAGACAATTTAATATCTCAAAAATAATACAGTGGCGTAAGATACATTAGTGCTGACAGATGTAACTAACCACTCAGAAGTTGTCAAATTTAAAAGATGCTATTTGAGCACACCATTCTTTCTTAACTGTCAGCCTTTTAAACTGTCTTTAAGGAAAGCATTCTTTACCGAGATGAACAAACAGTTTAGTGAACTGCATTTCCACCATTGTGGAGTTATCTGAGAAACATGTGTTAAAAACAAAAGCTCATGTGTACTCTGGTCTTTCTGTGCACAACTCAAAATGAAGTGAAAATGTGGCTTAGATCAGTTAATGTATTAGATTACAATTCCTAAGAAGGGTGTGGTGAAGAGAAACAGAAGGTGAAAAAACATTTCCTTATGAAATCGAAGCATTACTAACACAGGTGTAAAGTGTGACATGGATGTGAGCAAAATCAAACAAACCTAAAACCAAGACATTATGTTAACACCTTAAGTAAATCCCACTCACAGAATAGCAGAGTAATTAGAAACGTAGGAAAAGAGAAGTTCTCTCCTCTCTCTCTCTCTCTCTCTCTCTCTCTCACACACACACACACACACACACACACAATCTATTTCCTGAGAAGTGAAGGGTATGAGAATAATTTTACATTTTACATTTATTGAGCACATTTATGCATATGAATGAACACAGGGTGAGGCAACAGTAGGTTTATAGTTATTTGTATGAAAAATAATACAATAATATATAATAACAATAATAAAATCTGTGTTTTGAGTACCCACAACTATAAACTTACTTTTGCCCCATACTGTATAATATGATGACTTTGTTATTTATGCTGTCCTTTAAAACTAACATTTTTGAGTAGTTAATATATGCACATAGTACAAAGTTAGTAAAAATAGAAAATGTATAAGGTACAACATTTGTCTCCCAGACTTCCTAAAGGCAACCACTGTTACCAGTTGTTTTTGGTTTGTTTGCTTGTTTCTGTTTCATATATATTTCAGACTGTAAGCACTCAAATATAGTGTGCTGTCTTATTTAAGCCTCACAACAAACCAATGGAATTAATATGGCCAAGCCATTTTTTATATAAAGAAACCGATGTTCAGAGAGGTTCAAATAATTGTCTCAGTTATAGTTAATTAATGTAAGGAGTACCTTGTTTGCTCTAACACAAAGTGAGAGTATATCCTAATGTCAAATTATGTTTATTCTTGAGACAAGGCAACTTTCTAGTTAACAGTACAGACCCTTGGTCTAGACCTCAGTAATAGCTTAGTGGTGGAATATTTATAAATTATTATCACTGCGATGCCTGGAAAAGATTTTAATGAGGAAACAAAATGGCTTTCAAGTTGGCTATTCCTCTCAAGTCATGAAAATGTGAGATGATACTTAGTGAGGAAAATACTAAGTTTTATGCTTTTGCTGTGTTCACACGTGGTGTTTATTCTGAGCAGGACAACAGCTACTGCTATTAATGAAGAACTTTGTAAAAATGTCATAAAATATTTAGAGGTGGGTGAAAGAAGAAATATCAAAAAATATTAGAGCAATTTAATATTGACAATGGTTTTTATTAAAGAGGATTTGAAAAATTAACTTTACTAATGTGATTTTAAAAGCTTAGACAGATTGTAATATTTGGGGACAATTCAGTAACTCTGTATTGCTCAGGAGATAATTCATATCTTCTATGGTCATCAGCTGAAAAACCCATGGCATTTTGGAATGAGGTCCTATTAAACCTTGACAGATTTCATAAACTAAAATTTTTAAGCTGTCATCTGGTTTTAAAGTTTACTACTAGTTGAAACTGCTTAATAGAAGGTATGAAAGAATCTGCTGCCAAGCCCTTCTAGCCACTTTATAGGTGGTTTGTGTCAAACATGACATTTTCTTTCTCAGTCTTGGGAAAGGAAGCAGCCCAGAAACCACCTTGACAATTTCTCTTATTGCTGAAATGAGAAGAATATACTCAAAATCTTTTGGGTAGATGTAGGTTTTCCCAACAGTCATTCACTAATATATAATGTGCAGACTTTATATTTCAGAGACAGTTACTATTGTATGTAAAAGTTTGGGAAGTGCAGTAGAAAATATTTATGTGTAAAAAGATTCCATTAAATTAGCAAGCATTCTTTTTTAAGCAGCATCATGGAAAGATGCCAGAAACATCCAACAAGGGGAATTAAATGTACTGTGAGAAGAAGAATTTATAGCCTAGTTATAAAAGAAGCAAGTAACCTCAATAAAGGAAGTCACGGCTCTTGAATTAAAATGGTGTTGCAGATATTTTGAGGGACTTTACCAGGTCTAATCTGGCCTGCATTCTGCATCTTTCTATCCAATTGATTCAGAAATTAATTTATATTGGCTTGAAGAAACTTCGTTGTGAATCAGCACTAAATATCTCTGAAAGTTACTCAATTAATTCATCATATTAGGTAGGTGAGTTCTGGACCTCCATTTTAAAGCTGCTTTTTGAAATGCCTACTGTAATTCTTAGTCGTACATCGTCTCCTGGGCTCACAACACTTCCCTCATTTTCTTTTCCTTTTCACAAACTTATGTAGTTTTTTTCAAAGAATTTCTAGTATAAAACACAAACTGTGGAGTTAATAGTCTTTGTGGACTTTGTGTGGTTGCATACCAAATGAACTATGTAATACTTACCTGTCATCATCCTTTCTCAATGGAATATTAAAATAAATAATCGAGCAAATCCCTACTGAGAAACATAGCACACATTAAAGCTGCTTTAGGCACAATTTTACATACTGCTTTTTGAGGCAGATCTATTTTTTTCCAGTATGCAGTTTAAATAAGTATAAACTGCAAGTTTGAACAAGGTTGGATTCTTTCCCTTTGTTTAAGACAACTCTCAAATTTCTGTGTGTGCACTTAAGGAAGTCATCCATGTGTAATCACTAGGCTATCTGTGAATAGGAAAATTATAAGTGTGCTATATTTGCTGCATTTCTTCAGGTCTTAAACTTTTGTTAAAATGCTCCATAAATGGATCAAATGGACTGAAATTGTCTACATTTGAAAAGCAATAAGGGAGATAATTCATGCAGTAGTGGTTTTATTCTTAAAAGGAAAGGGATCAGTGAAATGTAGTTAAGAAGTAAACACTAGAGAATACTGGAATACTGGAAAAATATATCTTTATCACTAATACTGCAGTCAATATGACTAGTTCTGTTTTGTTGAGTAGAAAAATATTTTTAAAAAGGAAAATACTGGCAAAACTTTATGAACTTTTGACACATCAAATAATAATCCAAATACTTTACAAATATTTTTTATTTATTTCAGAGAGGAAGGGAGAGAGAGATAGAAACATCAATGATGAATGAGAATCATTGATCAGCTACCTCCTGCATGCCCCTCACTGGGGATTGAGCTCTGAAGGGGAATCGCAACATGACCTCCTGGTACATAGGTTGACACTCAACTACTGAGCCACACCAGCCTGGCCCAAATTTACTTTATAGAAACTCAGATTTAGTATTCAAATTTCAACTTGAAACGTTTCACTATTATTTTTGTTGTGTTATCAAATAATTACTCTCTATATTTTATAAAAAGGAAACAAGTTACATAATTTCCACATGATTATATAGAAACTACATTCAGGAGCAAGGTAATGACCAAGTAGCTTTTGTATTTTAGGTTCTTGATATAATCAAAAGTTAAGAAGAAAAATTGTTTAATGATGTTAACTTTGTTTTGTGTTTTATTTAACTCCAGTCCATAAGTAGTAAAAACTATGGAAAAATTATCTTTCAATACAAACTAAAGTTTTCTCCTTCACCTGCCTATTTCTATTTTCCTACTTATAACATCTCAACATCTGGCTAAGCATTTACTACCCATCTTTAATGCTGAAGGAAAAAAGGAAAGAAAAAAAAACTAGAGAAAAGGGTAGAAACAGTATGTACATTTTTTTTGTTTTATTTTAAAAAGAGTGAAAGATGTAAAGTCAAAAAAGATGAATACAGAAGACCTTCATCAACTCAAAGTAACACAATAGGGTCTCTGCCAGTCATACCTCCATTTAGACTGATTGTGCTGATTAAGTTTCCAAATGTTGAGAGTGTGACTGATCTTAGAACTACAAGATTTAACAAGACAATTTCATTCTTTCCTTTTGATTTGTCAAAATTCTCGATTTAAACACCCCTTTCATGAAATGAAAAACAAAACCATTCTTTCAAAATAAAAACTTGAAAGTACTAGTGGAGATGTCTATAGTGATTGAGCCAGCAACTTCAAAGATACTTTTAAACCATTTTGAGTAAAAAGAATCAGAGTCTACATAATACAATCATCAAAAGAGCACTTAGTATTTCCTCAATTTTCAAAATATTTGAAAATATCTCAACTCATATACTCCTAAAATAGTTTATGTTCAATAATCTTAGCATATAATAAACAACATGCACTCTAGTTATTATCTATAGAAAATTCACTGTTTAATTGGTTGTTGACTACGCACCTATTAAAAGAGATGCTGTCAGCAGTTTAGGGTCATATGGACTCTTCCCACGGCCATTTTCAAAGTGTGAATCTTCCAGCTTAAAAATGTTGTCCTATAGATAAGAAAAAGAAGGATAGAATTTATTTATGACAAGAGATATTTTATCATGCCAGTTAATCAGAGAGAGATTGAATATTCATGTTCATTATCAAGGGGTATAATTATTTATGTAAACAGTAGAAATGGCAAAATAACTGAGTGAATTAAAATCTAGCTATTACCAAAAATCTGCTTAGTTCAGTGATTTTTTTTTGGTTGCATTTAGCATGTTTCAAGGAATAATATATGAATGAAATCTAAAAACAAGACATGTCATGATAAGAGTAGGGGGTCATTTTATCACATAGGTTTGCCAAGAGCTAGCCTGATGGCTCTTGAAGCAAAGGATTTTAAATTTAAATGACTCTTTTTATTCCTTCACAAAGAGAAAAAAAGCAATGAACTATATTAGATGTCTAGGATAAAATACACTATCTTATTTTTCTTTATGTTCCAGAAGGAAATGATAAATAGCCATAGCAGTTACTTCCCCTACTCTTGTCATTTCTACTATGTTGGGGCTTACATGCTTCTGAAGCATTTTTAAATTCCATTGGAACTGAAACGATCCTTATCATTTTCTCTAAGTGAGAAATATAAAACTGTATGTTATGGGAGGTGTGCCTGAAGGTAATATCATTAGAACAACAAACACACAGGTGACACATTTTTTCTTTTTTTATCACTGGGAAGTCTGCTCAGATGACTCAAGTACCCAGAAACTGGAGTGAATATTTGACTAGAAAAGAAATATGCACAGTTCCCCGGTAGAAAGTATTCCAGGAAGAACTGCAACCAATTCCTTAAAAAGGAGGCAACTAACTCATGCCTGAGACCCTGCCCTCAGAATGTGTCATGTGTCAA